TGTTTTAATGCATCTTAAATGACCGAGGCTGCCTCTACACAAGTAATTGAATGATTCAATTTGAATCTAATGTGCCACCCTGCAGGTCTGTCTGCAATCAGATATTCTAAGTCAAATATTATTGCCCTCACCTGCTAGTGGACATTTTTTCAAATAATATTTTCATTACATTTTCACTAGACATTGTCCCTTTACTCCGGCATAGTAGTCCAGAAAATAAAAGAAAACAGACTAGAATAGTACAGGTTTGGAAGTTTTGAACTTGTAGATAAGAAACCTGTAGTGAAAGATACATCAGATCTTGTGGCTTTTCGAGTTTACTATGTCACATCTCATATCTATTGCTTGCTTGCTAATTTAATATCTTTATTCTATTTTAGTTGTATGAGCATTGTGATTCAGTTAGTTTCGTTTTTTTTGTGAATGGTTGAAAAAGTGCCATCTCTTTTATAAGTAAAAGGTTTAAAAAAAGTGCCATCTGCTCGTCTCTTTCTCATGGTTTCAGTTTTACTCCCATGGGCTTTTATGATCTCAATGTTGCATCTCTAGTGCTCCAGAAACTTCAAATTTTCTATTGACTTACAAAAAGGGGATTGTTAAAATTAAAAACCATCTACATTTTCTATTCATTGTTTTGCTTGTGAGTTGTAATGACACAATAAACCATGCATCTGCACTGTTGCTTCAAGATTGCTAGTTTTATGTTGTATCTTGTAGCATTCATCAAATTGTCCCTCTTGAATTTGATTCCAAAGAAATTCTGTGAGGAAGATCTAGCTTGCCTACAGTAAAGTCATCAAGTATCAGTAATGTTTTCCCCCTTCTCTCGGGTTTATGCCAGGCATTTAAATTTTGTTGTTCGCTAGCTTTCTTCAAATCCTTTTGGTGGCTGGATCAGCAGTTTTGTGTGCATCATGAGGAGAAAGGGTATGAGTTGGTAGAAGACCTTGAGGATAACCTAGAAGTTAAATGTTTGAGCAGCATTTGCTTATATACGGCCAAATTCTGGTGCTAAATCAAAGACCAATAATCTGTCTGTTTTTGCTAGTTTGTGGAGGAACGTCCTATTGGATTACCACGACTGAAGCTATGTCCAGTTTTCATGGCATATAGTTGCTACTTGATGCATAGCAGCTCTGATTTTGGCTGGATTATTTACTGATTGAATTTCTTGTATCTTGTAGCTAATGCTATCCAAACTTTGAAACTACAAACTGAACTGCTGAAAAGAGAATGCATAGTTTTTTCTCCAGAATCTTTTCAAATGATAATCGAACCCTACCGGAGAATGAATGCATAGGACAAACCATAAGCTCTGACTGCTGAACATTGGATTCATATTGTTTGCTGCCTTAGGTAATTCCCAGGAATTCGAAAAGGTAGACCAGCCATATTGTTTCTGGTGGTTTAGATACTTCACCAATTGTGTCATCGAATCCTTCCTGAGTTTAGTGATAAGAAGTTCTGGATTTTGAATGAATCTTGAGCAATGTTTTTTTGTTAATTTGCTCCTGTGTCCATCTGCAAATCTCTCTGGAGCTCAATTATATTACTTAAACCATGATGTTAGTAGGCATCTCAAGGATTTGTACTACTTCTTGCTGCTATTTCTCCTCTGGTGCTGTTATCTTACATATGTTGATGCTATATTATGTCAATGGTACAATCAGACCTCGCATCCCTATATAACAACACTTCACTATAAAAGCCAAGCTTTTCCGGAACCAATTTTCATGTTATGTTATAATATATGTTCTCTATAACAGCACTTCGCATAGCATCCAAAAATATTTGGAACAAACAAGGCTGTTATAGAGAGGTTTGACTGTAATGCTTTCTTCCCCATTCGTCTTAATTTGTTTTGTTGCCAGTGTTTTCCCTACTATTTGTATGACACCTCCTATCACGCAGATGCCTCCTAGAAAGCCCTACGAGCGCGTCAGCAGAATAAAGAGAGCACACACCACACCTATACTATACCAAGGCCTTTAGCTTTAACTGAAAAGAAGAGACTACTTCTAGCTAGCTTTTTTTTTTTTCTGGTCTAACTCCATCATGCCAAAACTTTGCTGGTGAACGTGGAACCAACAGAGGGGAAGGAATCATAAGTTTACTCATAATCAATTCCTGATATTATTACTAAGAAAATATTAGTTAGGCCTTGTACTATAACTTGTGAAAAATCTTAATGGAGGCAAAACCACTTTGTCATCGGTTGTCACCTAAATGTAAATCAAAAGACATTTATATTTTAGCCTTTGTTGGTAAAGTTGCTATATTTGCATTTTTATATTAGAGATTTTGGCCTTCAAAATCTGAATTAAAAAGAGCCAAAATATTACAGCTTTTTGTGACTAAACAGCCAAGAATATGAAAATATTTAGACCTAAGGAACATACTAAGGATTACAATGGGGCAGTGCGGGATTCAGCATATGCGGGGCGGAGCAGGGTGGATGAATGTAGGTGCGGTGTGGGTGTCGGGTGGGGGTGGATGGACGTGGGTGCAGGATGGGTTGAAATATTTTTTGTTAAACTAACGCAATTGCGGGTCAGTTGCGGGTTTTGGAGATATTTGAGCTCTCCTTAGAATCTGGTTATAAAATTCTTCCCCTAAGCCACTAAGCATGCATTTTTTATCAATCTTCCTTATTCCTTTACGGCCTTACCACATTATATCTGATGTTTATTCTCTCATCTTAAATTGATATATTACAAAAAAGAATTGCTATATTTAGTTTGCGTTGTCAAACCAATTTATGCATTTAAATCATCATTATTACTACAAAACCAATTCACTAAATTAATTGAGTGCACTTTTATCCAGAAATTGTTCCTAAGAAGATTTAAAAATGGTCAATAAAGATAATAGCAAAACGTTTTACTCCTTTAATTTTTTGGGTTTGCTTTCACTCTAATAATGCTTTTACTTCTTGATTTTAATAGCCCTAAAATAAAGAAAATAACTAGCTCTGTTAATACAAGTTAATAGAAAAACGTTGGGGAAAAAATATTCATTAAAATTGAAAAGAGGGAACTTTTTTATTATGCGGTGCGGGCTTATAAAGGGTAGAGCGGGGTGGGTTGAAAACATAAAATTTTGTTGTGCAGTGCGGGTTGAAATCTTTGTGGATTAATGCAGAACCCGCACTGCAACCGTCCCGCCCACTGCCATCTCTAAACATACTAGGACTGCCGCAAAAAATTCATCAAAAAGCAGAAAATTAACCCTTTTACTTTATAAAGTACAAAAGAATTATAGAAAAAGATGCAATTATAAAACTGGAAGATAGAAATAATATTGTCTACAACTAGCAAATAGCAATCCCTCAAGCGTTTGCAAAGGAGGGTCAAGTGCATTTTTTTCCAGAGCACATCTACCATTGAACGAACTCAACTTTTTACAATTAAATTAGTAGGCTAGCCACTTTTCGGCTGCTATTAGGGTTTGACCACCTTCTATATGGTAATGGCAAAGTAGCCATTGATCCGAATAATTAACTGTATGGGTCAAAATTTGGCTTAGAAAATCTGGCGTGGGAAGGTCGTTAAGTGAGAAGACTGTGTTTCGGTTTGGGCGGCCAAGCCGAGGTCGACCGAAGCCTAAGAACGAGCAGTCACTGAGCAAGTCGTTGAAGCCGAGGTCGAGTAGTGAAGAGTAGGAACAATGGCTAGTGTAGTCTTGGGACTAGCGATAGGAATATTCTCTCGAATATTCTCTTTGTTGTACTTTTTTAGGGTTTTTAGAGAACATCCCATATAAATAGAAAAGGGGAGAGAGGAAAAGAGGCACACGAGATTCATTCTAAGAAAAACTATTGTAAGAAGTTAACTATTGAGAGAAAATACAAAAGTTTATCTTTCCACAATAATTGATTTTATTGATTATTCTTCCTTTCCACTCACACGATCCAAGAAAGCATTGTTTATTTTTTTTTTACTTATTGCCATATTTTGTTGTCAGGAGGAAGAATCTTCCACATCATTCGATATTTGGGTGAATTGTTCTTCCTATTTACATTTATTGGCATTTTCTATATTTATTGCTCATCATTCATTTTTTATTTATTTTTCAAAGCGTGTATTTAATAATTTAACAACCAATTCGGGCATTAAGTAGACGGTACCATTTAAGCATTTAGCTAGATCAAAGAATGATTATGCTTGAATAGGATTCACCTTTCACCTTAGTTACCTTTTAATTAGTTTAACAAAGAGTGCTATACTTTTTGGTCAAACAAATTGGCGCCGTCTGTGGGGACTTTCTAGTAAAAATCATAATCTTTTTAGATCTACAACAACACACCAATAGCAAAATACAGAACTTTATTTCCCCTACTTGTATAATCTAACATGGTAGAAAATGAAGAAGAAAGACTAAAAACAGTGGCAGGCCTTACTACTAATCTCCTAAACACCATCAATGAAACTCACGGAGAGGTCGAGGAGAACGTGACACCAAGCGCCTCACCTAGGCGAAGTGATTCACCCCCCTCATGGAAGCGTTACCACTTCTCATGGAAAGGGAGCCTCTACGTCCACTATGGAAGAAGCACCACCAACGGTAAAAAAAACTACTAGAAGCATGGCTTACGAATACACTGAACAATATACTCGACAAACCTGCTTAGAGGGTGAGCAGAGAGGGTGTGCGAGTCGACATCGCCACAACAACCAAATCCTCATGGAGGAGGAAGACCAGAAAAAAACTACCTTTATCACCCACTAGGGGACGTACTGCTACAGAGTGATGTCGTTCGGGTTAAAAAATGCGGAGGCAACGTACCAGAGGCTAGTGACCCAAATGTTCAAAGACCAAATCGGCAAGACCATAGAAGTATATATAGACGACATGCTGGTCAAGTCAAATAGAAAGGAAGACCATATCGACCACCTGAGGGAAGCCTTCGACATACTCAGAAGGTACGACATGAAACTAAACCCTGAAAAATGTGCTTTCGGCGTGACATCTGAAAAATTCCTCGGCTTCTTGGTATCGCAATGAGGCATCAAGGTCAATCCCGACAAAATCAAGGCCATAGAAGGAATCCCAGAAAATCTAACCAGCAAAAAGCAAGTGCAAAAGCTGACCGACCAGATATCCGCCCTGTCCAAATTCATCTCGCGTCCTCCGATAGGTGCCATAAATTTTTTGGCGTACTCAAAAAGGATAACGTACTCCAATGGAATTCCGAATGCATCAATGCCTTACAAGAACTAAAGGCCTACCTTTCTTCACCACTGTTGCTCGCTAAGGCAGAACCTGGGGAGCGCCTCCTCGTCTACCTGGCCGTGTCCGACGTCGCAGTGAGTGCTGTCCTGGTACGAGAAAATAAAGGTACACAATCTCTGATCTATCACATTAGCAAAACTTTGGTCGACGCTGAAATGAGGTACCCCCACCTTGAGAGGTTAACTCTGGCCTTGGTCGTAGCTTCACGAAAGCTTAGACCTTATTTCGAGTGCCACCCATCTTGGTAGTCACGACTTTTCCTTTAAGGAGCATCTTGCACAAACCCGAATTGTCGGGCAGATTGGCCAAGTGGGCCATAGAGCTGAACAAGTACGATATAACCTATCAGCCGCGAATAACAATAAAGTCGCAAGTTCTTACCGACTTCAGTTGCCGACTTCAGTGCGAAGATAGTGTCCGAAGTCAAAAGGGAAATCGTCATTACTTCTACCAAAGTACACAACCAATGGGGTTTTGCACACCGATGGTGCTTCTAACACATTATGATCTGGAATGGGACTCATGCTCGATGTCCCAATAGGCGAAATGGTTTGCCAGTCCATACGATGCCCTGATACGACTAACAACGAGGCCGAGTATGAGGCAATGATGCCTCATACGAGAAGGCATCAGTATCCCATGAGGGACACTGTGGAGCTCACACCGGCAACCAGGTTCTCGTCAGATGCCTCATACGAGAAGGCTACATTATCCCACAATGAAAAAGAAAGTAGCCAATTTTGTTAAAAGATGTGAACCATGCCATAATTACGCTCACATGATCCACGAAACTGGAGAACACCTCCACTCACTCATGTCGCCCTGGCCCTTCATCAAATTGGGAATGGATATCGTCGGCCCACTCCCCGCAGGACGATTTAATGTGCAATTTTCATTGGTTTTGACTGACTATTTCTCTAAATAGGTGGAAGCAGGTGCATTTGCTCAGATACACGAACAAGAAGTGATCACCTTCATATGGCAGAACATCATATGTCGTTTCGACATTTCTAAGGAAATCGGTTATGACAACGAACCTCAATTCACAGGGAAAAAGGTCGTCGAGTTCTTTGAGAAGTGGAACATCAAAAGAATACTCTGCACGCCATATCATCCTACTGCCGACAGCCAAGCTGAATCCTCCAACAAAACAATATTGAATATCATGAAAAAGAAACTCGAAAACGCCAAGGGTCCGTGGCCAAAAGTGCTTCCAAGAGTGTTATGGGCATATCACACCACACCAAATACAAGCATAGGGGAAACGCCATACTCACTAGCCTATGGGACTGATGCAGTGATACCATTTGAGGTCGGGGAACCAAGCCTGAGATACTCAAAAGAAAGCGGGCCAAGCAACAACGAGAATAAAAGGCAATATCTCGACGAGGTCGAAGAACGAAGAGACATGGCTTACATAGGAATGGTGGCCCAGAAGAAACAAGTAGAGCAATAATACAACAAAAAAGCCAAGGTCAAGCCACTCAAAGTCGGGAACTACGTACTCAAAGCCAAAACGCAAGTGAGCAAAGATCCACGAGAAGGCAAACTGGGGACCAATTGGGATGGCCCATATAAAATCAGGCGGCAGCAAGCAAAGGGTCATTCCAACTGGAAACAATGCAGGGAAAAGTGCTACCAAACAATTAGAACATCGCTTACCGCAAATACTTCAACTTCTAAAAACAGACATCCTCTAAGTCGTACTCTTTTTCCCTCGCCCAAGTTTTGTCTCATTTGGGTTTTCTCGGGAAGGTTTTTTAACGAGGCGACGAAGAGGACATCTCGAAGTTAAGTATAAGTTCATCGCCCGACCTCTTGACAACCTCTCCATGTCGGACAGTGAAGGGACTAGATAGACTGGTACTTCTCCAATGCATGTATGGACAAAACAAAAATATGTAATCTTCTCCAATGAATGTACAAACAAAGCGAAATATGCGAACACATGAGTTTCTCATTTCTCCGCCAAGTTTATATATTACGCTAATCTCAGAGTCAAACATTCGACCTCGCTCGAATCGACTCACAATTGACTTTGTTCGAATTAAATAACATTCAACCTCGCTCGAATCGACTTATATTCGACCTTGTTCGAATCATTCAGAGTCAACATTCGACGTCGCTTGAATCAACTCACAATCGACTTTGTTCGAATTAATTAAATTCGACCTCGCTCGAATCGACTTATATTCGACCTCGTTCGAATTACTCAGAGTCAAATATTCAACCTCGCTCGAATTGACTTATAATCAACTTTGTTCGAATTAATTAACATTCGACTTTGCTCGAATCGACTCACATTCGACCTTGTTCGAATCAGAATTAAACATTCGACTTCACTAATATCGAATCGCATTTGACCTCGTTCGAACCAATTTAAAATCAATACTTGACCTTGCTCGAAGAAATTTATGTTTCGACTTTGTTCAATTAAAAACACAACTCGACATTCAACCTCGAACCGGCTCGACTCGCAGTCGACCCAAATGAATTCACAACCAAGGCAGAAAACATTCAAGGGAAAAATAAAAAGTTCAAGAATAAAAAAAAAGTATTATCATTGCAAAATGTCATCTTGCAAGGGCTAGACAAGTGCCCGCAAAACAAAAAAAAGAACAAAAGTATAGAGAAAAGCACACTATTCAGCTGCAGCTCCCCTATCACCATCACCACCGATGCCTTCACCATTTGAGTACTCATCATCGTACCAAGCATCTGGCTCAATCCCGTCCAAATCCTCTTCATCATCATCCATCCCGAGCGTGCCGGGGTCATAGCCGCAAGAGGCACGAGCTATACATGCCTTAACACGAGCATCATTGAACTCCACCTTAGAGGCATTTCCAACTGCCATCAAACCCCTGTATATGTCAAGATGAGCCTCAGCATGGACCCACTTCTCGTACGAGTCTCGTGGGACGTTGGGATAAGTAGAAGCATGAGAGGTAAACGACTAAGCCTGTTTCTGCGCTTTCTCAGCCTTGAGGACGGTTATCTGATCGTTCAAATCCTGGACTTCTCCTTCCAGTCCACCTATCCGCTCTTCGAGCCTCACCTCTTTAAGAACAGAGGTCTCTACTTCACTAGCCCGCTCTGATCTGAGGACGCGAAGGGTGTCCGCTAACTGCTCCAACTCCACAACTTGGGCAACCAGCTTATCCCTTAAGCCGTTAGCTCTAGTTTCGCTTTGCTCACGGTCAGCCCGTAAAGACGTCACCTGAGCTTGGAGGTCGACCCATTCGGCCATGGCCCCCTTGCTCACCTCGAGCTCATCGGTTTTGGTCCTTAACGTCTCTTCGTGCTCACTGCACCTGCCAATAACCCTCATGATCTCATCATCCTTCTCCTTCAACTCCTCATTCTTCGGCCTCAGCTCGTCACGGAGAGTTGGGAACAAAGCGTCGTCACCAAGCATGCGAACTAGGGGCCTTGTGTTAAGTACGGTACTCTCTGTATTTTAACTCCATCTTCTTATAGAGAGCCGTCCTCTTCTCCTCCCGAAAGGAGCTCTCAATCTCCGGGATGAGAGTCTAATAAACAGATATCACACCTCCTTTTTACTACCCCCGAAAAGGTATAAGGGAGTTTTTTTCAATTTAAGTGACAATCAAAATGAGATTTATTTATTTATTTAGAGTCGCCACTTGGGATAATTTATGGTGTCCCAAGTCACCGGTTTAAATTCAGAATCGAGGAAAGATTGACTCTATTTTACAGTCTGCGAACACAAAAATCCGGGTAAGAAATTCTGTTAACCCGGGAGAAGGTGTTAGGCATTCCCAGGTTCAGTGGTTCTAGCACGGGTCGCTTAAACTATTATAATTAGCCCATTATCTGATTTTAATATATGTTTTAGCCTATGGTATATTTTAACTTATTAACCGCTTTTAATCATTTTTAAGAAGATTCACCGTTATTTAAAATACGCTGTGAACCATGCCACATGAAATGCACCCACTGTCCACGACATATTTTATTTAACATAATTGAGAATTGGAGTTGGGTCACATGAAATGCACACCCGAGTTTAAGGAAATTAATTTAAACTGCGCGCCTAAAACAACTACGTACTTTCAAATTCGCGAGGGCCATGAAAAATTCAACTAAATGGCACACCTCGATTTCTAAAGGAGTAAAATTAATTAAGTGAGGGCCATGGGTTTTGAGATTTTATTTGGCATGGCACGCCTCAAATTATCCTAACAAAAGGGTTTCTAAATTTAATTTTGGGGGCCATAATTGTATGCTTGGCTAATATAGCACACCCCAAACTAATTAAAGGAACTAATTGATTGATTAAAAGATTAAGGGAATTCTAATTTTTTTAAGCTAAAGTTCAAACTCAAACTAATAGAAAAGGCTTGGTGTTAAAAGAAATCAACACTTTGGTTATAGAAAGAAACAAATCTGGCCGCAGGCCCAATTATTTTCACAACGCATCCGCATCAAAGCAAGAGAGGCATTGGGCTCGGATATAAGCCCAAGGAAACTGCAGGCCTTAAACCTTCCATTTTTGGGCAGCCTCAAATTTAAGCCCAAAACAGATCTCAAATTTAATGTAAAGGCATGGGACTGAAGTTTAAATCCCCATAAAACCAAATAAACTTGGACCTCAAGAACCTTGGGCTCTTAACTGACCTTCAATGGTCCAGACCCAATTATACTTGAACAATTTCAGCAAGGCAAAAAATGAAGCGCATTGTTTAGTTAAAATGCAATTATACAGAGAAACAAAAATTGAAATGCTGCTCGTTACCACAACTGAAATTAATAGCATGGTTTCCTACATAGAAACTTTGACTAACTTCGATCTTTAAAGACAAAACAAACTTAAAATGATATCAAAAGAAGGCATCTACTAAGACCTATCCAATTCCAGGTCTTTTGAAAAATGAAAGAGTGCTGAATTATTTCATCAAAAAAGCCAAACAGAAACCAAAACTAATCTAAGGTTCGAAACCAATTCTTTTCAACAGAATACCTAACATCAAAGGCTTCATGCTTTTTACTTTTGTTATTTACAAACAAATCAGTAGACTTTGAAGTCTTTTAAAAACCAAAATTATAACAAACCAGATCACAGAAATTAACTTTGAACAGAGCACCAACATACAACTTACGTGCCATTCAACTAAGTTATGTCCATATCTCAACAATCCAAAGTTAAATACAAGAATAAGAGTTCAACTATTAAAACCAGAAATTAACTAGAACATACAGTGAATCAGGCAATAAAACACAATATAATGCAGAAGATACAACTAAATTATAAACAGTTAAGTTGATGCTACATTTTAAACTCCATTTTTTCATTTCATACTTCAAGTTTGGCTTCACATCTAGTAGAATCCAGGAATATGTACCTGATTGCAGCAATCAAAACAGGGAAAGTGAGCTTGAAATTTTAAAAGCAGCAGCAGTAAGTCAACAAACGAAGAAGCAACATCAGTAACTCCAGCAAAAACCAAACTTTAAACCAATTTCAAACCCAGAATTGAACCAGAACCTCTTTGCAGATTTTAGATACTAGAACAAATAGGACACTGAACCAATTTTTTCACCAGGAATTGCAAGGATTTCAATATTTGAAAGTTCAACCATTTTTTCTATTTTTTCTGTATTTTCAGTCTCTGAATTGCTCTCCAAAAAAAATCTCCCTTGGGAGTCAAGAAACAATGCCTTTATAGGCAAACCTAGGGCAGCAGAAATGACTTCAATTTTTAATCCTTTTGGAATTTTCGTTTTTGCTACTGCACCCTTAATTTAAAATCAGTTTTTGAAAGTTAGTCCCCAATCCCACCTTCCTAGAAGTTTCCTCAGTCAGTTATTAAAGATTTCCCAATCTAAAATCCCTAAACTAACCTTTAAACCCCCCGTTTTTACCCCAACCTACCACATGGGTCAAGTTGACCCAGTAAATTAAACCCAAATAAACGGGCTTCTCTTGCCAATGGGTCGGAAATGACCCAAAGCCCAAACAACAATTGATCCAAACTAAATTCTGTAATTATATGGAAGGCAGAAGAAAACAAATGCTTAAATGATTTTAAAATTAAAAACATAACCTAAATGACTGATTTTTCTTTTAAACTAAATAACGAGCTATAATTAAACTATGTTACCTAATCAACCACAGCTAATTACATGATTAGAAGAATCAAAAATTGTGACCTAACTAAAAGCTAAACAGGCAAAATACACAAACCAAACAAAATTAACGAAAATTTAAAAAGAAAACTGGAAAAACCCACAGAATAAATACGAACACCAAACAATCAAAGTGAAAAACCTAGGTTCAAAACTTTTATCGACTTTCCTGTCAGAAAACAAAACACTCAAAGAAGCGGGGAAGAAAAAAAAGGAATAGGAAGATGAAACAGCACAAGACGGAAAGAAAATGAAGAAAACTTACTGATTAACTCGAAATAAAACTATAGACGTTGATTTAAACGA